TCGAAATCCCCATCGCGCCTTCCGAACGATTGTTTGCGCCTTCGGGGAAGGCCGAGAGACTTCTCAGAAGGCCGGGGGGGTGGTCCGAGCCTTCTGGGGAGGTCCGCCCCGTCTCACTTCCCCACAGGGCTCGCCGCCGATCATGATCGCCCGCATCATCACCACGCCAATCGCCATCACCGTCCCTCCTCCCTTCGTCCTTTTCCCGTCCATCCGGCGCCAGCGGTCGCGCGGTTGCGCACGAGAATGGGCGCCCGCCTGCAGTTCCACACATGGGGGTCATGATGGTAGCCAACCGCTCAGTGTACAATAGTAGAGGCCAACCGCCACCCGACACAGAATACGATAATGACAAAACGGTAGGTCTGTCCCTGCCTCGACGACCTCTCCGCTCGAAGAACACGAGCGCATACCCAAGCACTGAGCGCGGATGGCGATCTGACAACTCGGGCGAACGCAATGGCATCGTCGACCGAACTCTCTGAGGGTCACCAAACCTTATGGCGATTGGCAATTAAGGAAACTAATCAGCCTGCGAGCATGAACTGAACGGCCTGAAAGAGGTCCCCGGCATGCCTTGTCAGAGCACGTTGTGCCCTCTCACGCTGGAATCCCATCTGCACAAGCCGTTGGAGGTTAGAGCTGGAGCTGGACGTGCCATCATCCCATATCCTGCCATCCCAGCGAGGCCAGTCAGATATATCTTCAGCAAACCACTCGCAACGAGGGCATGCGTTGCTCACTCGAGCTCTCCCGACGGCCTCTGCGTGGTGAGTTCGCAAGTTTGAGCAATTCCTGTGGTCCACAGGGCCATACCCGCATCCACCGCACTGACGCGCATTCGGGATCGTCCGACGGATCACCTCTGCAAGTACTCGGGGATCATTCTCGGCAGAACGCCTGCGCTGCTCCTCCTCCCACTGGCGGTGCTTCAGAACGTCGTCCACCATCCTGCGGTACTGCGCAAAGAGGCCACCTGGAAGGACGAGCGCGAGCGTCGCATCCTTATAAACAGCCTGACACCTGTCCACGTGCTGTGGGCAGCGAATTTGACCTGCACGCTTGCGGTGGCTAGAGAGGCGTTCATCGTCAGAAGCAATTTCTTCCAGCTCAGTGGCAATGTATTGCTCAAGGCACCCAGCGCAGAGGAGGTGACCGTTATCACAGCAAATCCGCTGAGCAGCGTAGCAATCCTCGAAGCAAACTGCGCAAGCAGAGCTACAAGCTGCACTCTCACCAGCTGCGTTCACTGCTGTTACAGAAACATGAGCTGCCTGTTGGATTGGCAGCCAAACGCCCCATGTCGAGCTGAACCACGGCGGCAGAACTTGCTTGATAAAACCCCTGCCGCAGCGCACAATGCAGTGATGAACGGACGTTCCCTCGCCCACGTTGAATCGCCATAGAACATGCACTTCTGTTGCTGTCGAACTTCCAGGCCGCAGGTCAATAGGCACTGGGGGCAGGTCCCTCGCAATATCAATTCGCCAGAGTGCCCTTGGCACGTTGGGGCGTGATGGGGTGCCTGTTGCCTGTCTGGTCAGGTTTTGTAGTCATGCCCGCCACCGCGCTTGCAGCGATTGGTGGGTGCGTGTGTGTGTGTGTGTGTGTGTTTGTGTTTGCGAGTGAGGATGTCTCGGGCCATTGGTGTGTCCTCAGTTCGCTTCATGTCAAGCAGTACTGTATACCGCCTCCCCAACGCGTCGAGCCAACCACTGGTTCACTCTTTTGACCACGTCCCTGCGTTTTGTTGCGTTCAACTCAACAGAAACGATGTAACAATCAAAGGGGGTGCGGGCAGGACGATCCGTGGCATCTGCCCGCGCGGGAGCCCCATAGCCCCGTCCCCCGTCCCTAGGCGCCCGCCCGAATACGATTGCGGATTCGCGCGGCGACGCAACTAAATCTGATGCCAACGCGCAGACTCCGGACGATTGATATAGCACTCTGGCGAGCGCTGCGTGTGCAACCCGCGTTCGAATTACCCACTGCGCACGCAGCCAGCGTCAGTGCCCGCCGGCCGAACGCTGACGGGGGCGGCCGCTCACTGCCATGAGTGTGTGGTGTGTGGGACCCACTGCGAGACAATCTGTCTGTGTGGAATACCTTATGAATGTGGAAACTTACTGTGTGGGAGACTA